GCAACATTTTGGGATACTAATGGATTTGGAGCATATGTTGGCGGAGTTTCCGGTTGGTGAAGATAGGGATCCTGTCTTTTGGATGCCCTCTTTTGATAGAGAAGTTAAGTAGATCGATCACCCGATCCTTTTTGAGTATGTGTGTGGTTTGTAGTGGAGGCCTCTAGTAAGGCTTGTTTGGTGTGCCGTTGTAAGTAACATTATGTTTATAAAGTGGCTTGTTGTTCTGTTTCATTTGTCTCTTTACTATCCCTTTTAGTTGAATGTTGAATGGAGTGTTCGAGTTGCTTCCGCATGTGTTACTCTTAGTTCGTTTGTATCGGGTCGGCGACTAGTCCTAGGAAGTCGCATACTTAACGACCAGGCGGGATGTTGCGAGCTCGTAGAGTGCGGGGCGTAACAGAACCGAAGTACAAGCCCAACTATTTGTGAAAAGATTAAGTAATGTCCTAGATACGAGCCGAACACACTTACCTACTTCTAAACAACTAACCGGAAGCCCGAAAATTCGAACCAGCCCAACCCAGAATTCACATGCCCGAAATGGTCGACCCGGTCTTCGAGCCCTTTTTATTTTCTGTTCAGGCCGGGCCCAAAATTCAGGCTTCACATGGTGGATCTCAAATGGCCCCGACTGGTCCGAAAGTTTTAGTATGTCTATTCATATTTGTGATAAAAAATTATGAAAACCCACTTTTTTAATTTGAGAAAGGGGAAAAACATTTGATTCTTACTACTTACCTAAACTCTTGAAATAAGGAAAAATATGTTATGGAAAATATTAGTATTTACAAAAAGTAAGTAACCCAAATTAAAATTAAGTAGGTCTCCCCAAATTGCATTTAACATGGGTATTAGGTATAAAATAACACACGCAAATTGCAATAGTATTTTAAAAAAATTTAACTGGAATAATCAAAGAAAAAATGAAACATACGATAAATCCAATTGCGTCACTTTCGTGCATAAGCATTTAACTACGCACTTTTGTGCATAATCGTCCTCAATAACTGGTAAGTGCTAGTACTTGGATTTACAAATTACCAATTTACAATTGAGATCATTGCTCTATCATTTTATTATCGATAAGCGGACTTATTTGATTAAAATATTTTGAAATGAAACTAGGGCTTGTTAAATTTATAGGATTGTTACGATCCTTGATGAGCTCACAAAAACTTCGTAATCATATGCTTTTTGCACTTCCTTTGCTGTGTTCTTAGGTGGTATGTGTAAGATTTAATTCCATGTTGATAAAAATGCAGTCTCTTATCGAGAGATGGGGGAGCTCGCCGGCAATAAACATGTCAAGTACATATTGTCTGTTGAAAATGTAGGTATGAAATTTTTACAATTCTCATCTTGTTCTCTTGTCCACCTCCTACCGGTTACTGAAAATGACTTGGTTTATCTGGATCTGCTATTCAGCATGTTGGAGTTCACTGATTTGAGTTTTTGGGTTATATCTTGCACTCAGAAAAAGGATGGTTTTGAGTTGGTGGTTATGGAGCACTTGACATTGACTGGGGCATATTTTGAGGATTGACCACTCTAGATCTTGTTGGAAAACTTGACACTGTGGATTCGAATGAAGTTTCGTGGATCCTGCAATGCCAGCACAAGTCTGGTTTGTATTTATTTGTCTCTTGTCTTGGCTTCTATTTCGCGATTACCCATGAAAAACATGCAGCTAACAGGAACCTCCACCCCACATTCAATCAAATTTTTCTTATTTGACAGTATGATTAAGATTTTAACTTGGGATTAACAAATTCCATCTATTACAATGATGACCACGTCTTAGGAGTGATTAGTGTTGCTTTATTTATTTATATTCTAAAACTTCACCCTTAAGAACAAAATACGAATGTCACTTAGGGCTGCATGTGCAGGCGGATTTGGTGGGAAATATTGGACGTGATCCGCATCTGCTGTATACACTCTGTGCCGTGCAAGTTTTGGCCCTTTTTGACAAGTTAGATGTTCTTGACATCAATAAGGTGACAAATTGTATCCTTTGGAATAAAGCGCCCTAGATCTTCAAACTCTTACCATAGATGCAAGTTCATCAGTGTTATTATATGTTTTTTAGTTTTCAACATCATGAGAGTAATAAACTTACCTTCGGCTCTGTTTTGCATGTAAGAGATCGGATTATGTCATATTATGGAATTTTGTTTACACTTACTTTTTAATGTGTATATTGCTAGCCAAACATTGTTGTGCCTGAACTATGATTCAGACATCAAAGCTGTTGAAAATATGTCTCGAGTTTGAACCAGTGAACGAAACCCGATTCGAGATAAATTATAAAGAAGCTCGGTTTATTATAGGAAAGTTTGAGATTAAGCAAAGTAGATTACGATTTGGAATCTTAATCGAGAATCAAAGTTGGGCATGTTAAAGCTGCAAAGATAATATCAACTTTCCTATATTATGTTGGGCTCTTGGACTGAAATTGGAAAGTCCCACCTGGGGACAATATTCGGTCAACTTTGATTTCTTTCCTGACCAATATGTGCTGACCGAACTGGACTTCTTCCGTGGCGGTGATATTAATGATTCTAAGGGTACATTTCGGTCTTGCTTCTATATATATATATATGCCGTGGCAGAGGATTGGAGTTCGGGGAAGCACCGTTTACTCTGAGTGCCGTGGGAGTGCTAGTGTCATCCATAGGTGCTGCGTGCTTGGCAATGGGTATAGGATTTTGTTCGTGGAATTACACCAAGAGTTCAAGTGTTTGTAGCGATTAAATCTTGTATTAAGATTTGTGTACAATTCTTTTGCGAGATTGAGAGATTATTTCGTGAGGAATTGTGGGGCTAAACACTGTGTGAGTTATTGGGTGTAATTGGGGCTTGGGAAACACTTAAAGTGTTTGAGTGACTCGAGTGTGGTTGTAATCTCCGTTGTATCGCTTGAACTATAGTGGAATTCCGTGCTGCTCTCCCCGTGGACGTAGGTCACTACGACCGAACCACGTAAATTTGGTGTCCGATTTATTTTCTTATTCTGTTAATTTTATTGTTCGATCACTTGGCTTCCGCAACAAGAGCACTGCAAAATGAAGATGAATCTTTCTCTGGTGATATGTGGGGAGAAGTCGATACTTGGTGTCTTGTCCTCGCCTTTGATCAATTACAATTTTGGTGCTTCTTGAGGATGTTACTTAAATAATTGACATCCCTTTCACCCCTTTATTTCCCTTCGAAGGTTCTCTTATTGTGCTCTATGCTGTATTGCAATACTAAAACGGTTGGATTCGACAGACGTGGAGAAGGCTGCGAGATATACAGTGAGTTGCAAAACTTTGGATGGCGGGTTTGGTAGCACTCCTGGTGCAGAGTCTCATGTCAGATAACCTTATGCTGGAGCTCTTCCGCTGGTTTCAAATATTTGATTGGTGCTTAGTAAGTCATGTATTTGCTTAAATACATGGTGGTCTCCCAATTATGCTGGTGAAGAATTCCATTCTAGGTCCTATCTAACCAACGTTGTATATCGTTTTAGAGTGAGAAGGAAACCTGGGCTTTCGGCAATTAAATGTGCACCATCCACATGACGGTGGATCAAAATGGACACAATTGAGCAAAAAGAAATCAATACGTGTTCCAATGACCACATCCAAAGGATAAACCGAGTTGCCAGAGTTTTAAGAGGACTCATCTTAGACGTGAGAAAGTAGGAAGGAATTAGGCATGAGACAGTGAAGCACTAAGGAAGTAAATTGAGATGCACAACTGCCTGACCAAGCACCTTGCTACAAAGTGTCTCATCTATCTCTCTTCTTTCAGTTCAAATCAGAAGATCGTTGCAAAAACGGATGCTTGAACATATAACAAAGCCGTGTGTACTTTGTCCAGCCAATTGTCCAGTCAGTCACGCAGTAATTTGACCTGTGGAATCCCCAAAGCTCTTGGATGCACCCATGAAATATATACTGTCCACTCAACTTGATCGATTATATGCCCTCATTAAGATGAACCTAAGTTGAGATTCTAATGATTAGACTACTGTAAAATAAGGTAAATGCTTCAATGTCGGTTTTTCGTTACTTATGCTAGAGTAGAGAAGGTGTAAGCAACTACAACATCCAAGTATTTGCCATGACGGCGAATGCAAAAAAAGGAAATTGTACTCTAGATTTTTAGCAACAGCACACTGATGCATATCCGAAGCTCTTCTGTTCTTACACCAGAAATAGTGGCGGTCAGTCTACAAGCATGAATAACTCAAAGTAATCATCCTTTACACCCGCACTTGTTGTATAAAAGTATTTATGGTTGATTAATACAAGCTAAGTCTATTAATAGGGCGCAAGTTCACAGCAGTCACTTCAGGCACATTTCGTGCAGCCAACCCACGAACTTCTAGCCCCTTCAACCATATGCAGCAGACCTCAAATTCCCAATGGAAAATACAACTGCCCAAAATATGTAAAAAACAAACCTGGCTATCCCATTTAATTCTGTATGAAGGACCGAAAAGAGAAGCATTGTTTGCTTCATTTTCAATCATTGAGAGCTCCTCACAGGCAATAAAGAGACAGTGGATACTCATTAAAGAGACCATTTCATATACTTACAAACTCTTCATGAGAAGATGCTCAACATCCTGTGTAGAAAGCTTTGTGCGCTCTGCATCAACATTCATGGGAATGGTTCGATCCTCAGACGGTCGACTCAAAAGATTTACATCACCGTTCTCCATCAAAGCTGTAATAAACTCTGTTTCCCAAATTATGCAACTTTCTAATATTAATTCAGCTCACAAATACACATAATTCTTGTACCACCCCAACTAACAGATGCACAACACGCCGGCACATGATTACACGCAATCGAGCAGTCCACAGAAGCATAGCAACATAACTAGACTGAGTTTTCCAGTAGTCAAACAATTGGAAAAGAAAGCAGACCCTTATACAGCTATTACCATATGAAGCTAGAGATCGAGCTCATGCTTAACTACGCAAAGATAAATCACACGATTACATTCAACTAAACACCAACTGCCACACCATCCGTGCCTGTTCTTCAGCGGTTAGCTGGTGATTCCAGAGCTTGAGTTCAGGCCCATGCCTTTCGCCACTGATGGAGTTAATGAGTGCAACCATCGGAGCCTCATGTAGCACCAAATTCCTCCAGCTGATCGGCACTGAAGAAGAACATGAGCAGGCGAGCGAAAAGTGGCAGTGAAGAAGGACTTGAAGCTCACGGACATCGAACTTGAAGCTCGCGAAGACGGACTTGAAGCTCGCGGACAACAGAACCTGGGAAAGAAGAGACGACGGCGAACGACGGACTGAAGCTTGCGAGGAGCGAGCGAGTAGCGACGAGGATTGGGGGACAGCAACTTGCTCGAGCAGCGGGAGAGAGGAAGAAGACAACGTGAAAGAGAACCCTAATCCCAATTCAATTCGAGATTTTGTTCAAATTTCGGACAAATATTGCCGTTGTTTTAGCCATCGGAAAATGTCGGCCGATGAACATTTGGTCGACGGACGAGCTCATATATAGCTCTTATTTGAAATTGACTTAGTCACTTCATGCTTTTTCTTGAGAAAATGACTCCGCGTTTCTTTAACGAAAAACTTGAAATTTAGAAATTGCTTTAAAAATTAGCCAACGGAAAATAATATTATTATCAACAATAATTTATACATAATTATTTTTATGAATAATAAAAATATTTTTCAATTATTTTTTTTTAAGAGATGAGTATTTTTTTGAAAATGTTTTCCAAATCTTGAAATTTCCGTGAAACACGCGCACCCAAGCCCTTTTTTGAAGTCTTCTCCTCTTTCGTTTTCCTTGTTCCTTTGCCGACTCTGTCTTTCTCGCTATTTTCTTCTCTTTATTTCCCTGGTTCTGCAAAAGGAAATAATAAGGTGAGTTTGAGGTCCCTTTTGTTATTAGATGGTGAGGGATCGTAATATCCCCCAACCTCACCGCCGAAGTTGACACACACACACACACAGAGCATATGGAGATTCCAAGTAAGATGGGGCATTTTTAATGAGATTGTCCTTGGTTGCACGTTTTAGAATCGGTTCATTGTCTCTCTTCGCTAGAATAAAGCAGAAATAGAAAGCAAGCAAAGCAGAAGAAACAGCGATGATCTATGAATAGAAAGAAGGCGCACCGTTTTCTGCAGGGGATCCCCTGTTTCTGTTTCGGAGTCCATTGTTTCTGTTTCGGAGTCTGGCGCTTGCTTTGTTCCATTCAGAATCTTCTCTCTGTAAGACTCCCAATTTTCGAAATGAAGATCTGGACTAGTGTTGGGTAACTTCTCACAATCTTTTATGTTTATCTGGCTCCCATTAGGTATTTTTGAGCTCGATGCGTCCAAAATCCTTTCCAGTGATCTGCACCCATCAATTTTCAACTGATCCAAAAACTCTAATTCATCGATGCCCTCGACAACTTGCAGGCTCGGGCACCGCTTAAGAGTTAACTCCATCAAGTTCTTCAAGTTTGACAAATCGCCTAACCTTTTTAATGAAGTGCACCTTCCAACGGAAAATACTAACAATAATTCCAACGTAAAAACAAATTGAATATCCTGTAGCCCTGGGCACCCCCACAGAACGAATTTTTGAAGCTTCTGTAGGGAGCTTGGGAAATGGAAGGCTCCCCTCCAATGATCAATCAACTCGAGAGCTTGTACCTCAATGCACCCCGGCTCCTCCCGCAGACAAACCAACCTCTCTAACGATCCATAGTCTTCGGGAAATTCAAGTTCAAGTTGCTGTAACGCCTTGTTTTCTCCTGATTGTCTCGAACTTGATGAAACGAATACAGTCTCCTTCTCCGATGGAGGAAGCCGTACTTGTTTCCCTCGAGTGTCATAGAGCTCTAGAATTATCAACTTTGACGGAAGTTGTCTAAAAGTTGGCACATCTACTCCATGTAGAGTAAGTTCTTTCAGCTGAGAAAGGGAACCCAACTCTGTAGTTGGTGCACGGACATTTGAAAAGCCAAATTGCAGCTTGCTCAATTTGGATAAACTCCCAATCCAATGCAAGTCGCAAGTTTGAATTCCATCTAATCTGGCCATAGATTTAGAGCCATCAGCTAGGGCCAGTTCAACTAGATTAGTAAGGAATGAGAGGTTAGGGACAGTCGGCAACGATGTAGATCTCAGCTGTAGAGTGGTCAAACTTATGGGGAGCTCCGGCAACTCTTGTATCCCATCACAATGATTCAAACGAAGTGTATGGAGTTGAAGAAGCTTGCTCATTGTACTGGGCAGTTTTTCAATCGGTGTGACTGATACGTCGACAGATGACAGGCTTGATAGTTTACTAATGGAATCCGGTAATCTTGTAATTCCCGTGCATGATAGATCCACTTCGTTAACGACTCTAATTTCAAAATTGAGTTGGGGAGCTCACTCAAGCTATTACAACTCCTAAGAGAGAGGTGCTGCAGCTTCCGTAACTCTCCAATTTGTGCAGGCAATTTTTCAAGTTCAGAACATGACTCAAAACTCAACTCAGTCAGTCGCATCAGTTTTCCAATAGAGCAATCAATTTCCATCAAAGACAAAAATTGAGAAATAGTCAACTTCTCTAAAGCTGAGTACTTGGGAAAGGTTGGTGTCCGATGTATCGTACGATTACTCTTAATGGTGAGAACTTCCAATTTCCTTGCCAGCTACAAAAGCCAATGAAACTTCAGAACAGACAAGAAATGAATGTGGATTTAGGCTACCAATGAGAAAATTAGATAATAAATCCATCAAATTTTGTCCTTCATTGAATGAGAAAATTAGACTAAGAAGGAAACCGGCGTACCTCGATTAGGCTCTTGAACACATCTTCCGTGATATCAAGCCCAGTAAGATTCACCACAACCGCGTTTTCTAGATGCAACAAATTGGTTGCCTCCAAACATTGACTAGGGCCACCACGAATAGAATAACTGAAACTCAAACTGATCCATTTCAACTCGGAAAGACAGCCTGTAAAGTCACCTTTGCAGGTTTCCCAAGACAACCAAAGAAACCGTAAATGTGGGAACCACTTTATTTGCTCCGAAGTGATAGTTGCAAGATTTCTCGAACGGAGTGCCTGAACGCTTTCCTGGGTCTGCTAATGACATTGAGGAGCAGAAGCAGGAATTTGTCAATATCCCACAATTTTATTTCGTAGAAGAAAAGAAAAAACGAAACAGAAGAGTAGCTCCCAATTCATAAACGTGAATCCTCGATTAAGAAGAGGTTATAGGCAATTTTCTATTCAGATTTGGCCATACTTTACCTTTGTTGATCTTAATTCGTAAATGATGTCCTCTTTATCCCACAATCTGGTGTGCCCTTCTTTGGCAATTACCCTTCCAAGATCTCTAAGCTGATCGTGCATCCAAAACCTATTACCACCTAAAACCTTTATCATGCACCTCTCACTAAGGACCTCGATGGCATCCTCCGGACAAAACTGACAATCTTTCCACACGTACATTGGATTAGTCTTATTCTCACCAATGAAAAAGCATGCAACATCGAGGAATATCTCTTGTTGATTTGGCTCTAAGGCATCATAGCTAATCCTTAGCTTTGCCAAGACATCCTTATGAGGTGTTTTCTTTAGCTTCCCTAGCCACTCTTTCCATATTTCTCTCTTTTTCTGATAAAGCGATGAACCTATTACTGCAAGAGCTAAAGGTAATCCATCTGCAGTATAGACAATCCTTTCTGAAAGAGTGTGGTAATTGGCTGCAGGAGAGTTGTCATTGAAGGCATGCCTACAAAAAAGTTTAAGTGCATCCTCGTCGCTCAACCCCATCATTTCATAACAGCAAAATTTATTCTTACCCCTGGTTTTCAGAACGCTCTGGTCCCTAGTAGTAACAAGTATTCTAGTACCTGGATACAAAGTTTTCTCTCCGATTAGATATTGGATCTGGTCGGCCTCATCAACATCATCCAATACAATTAGCGTCTTCTTGTTGCAAATTGTTTCTTCAATCATATTGATCCCATGATCAATGTTAGAAATGTTAGGAGCCACACTATAGGAAGAGATACGGGACAATAATTTTTTTGCAGCTTGACTAAGCCCTTGGTTTTTGCCGTTTCCCTCACGTCATCAAGAAAGCAGCAGTTTCTCCCAAAGTGAGGACATAGTTGGTTGAAGATAATCTTGGCGAGGGTTGTTTTACCGATACCGCCCATCCCATAAATTCCAATGAGCCACACACCACCGGAGTTAATGTCTAATAAATCGTTCATGGCTGCTATTTGATCCTCCATTCCAACTAAATCTTTGGTCACTCGTCTTTTTCTTGTCTCGAGCCTGACCACAACCGCTTCAACAACCGCCTGGATAAGTTCCCCATCGCTGCCACGAAGTTGAAAAGTTTCAATTGAGAAAAGGTGACAAATTTGCATGTTGACCAATCATCTACTAAGCGACTGGGTGGGAACGCGATCAAGTTTAGGATATATAAAAAGTTCAACGTTACCCCCAAAGCTTGAGGAACATGATGAATTACGAACTTGAAAATCCATTACAAGTTTAAGTTAAAGGAATAGAGAAAGAGAAATGTTTGATCTTTATATCAAGCAAAAGAATCAGAATGTCTGGCAAAAAAGGGTAGAAGAATCCAAATATAAACATCTAATGAATTACAGTAATAGAAGATTTACTTATTTCTTTCGACGTGGAAAAGAACTTTGCAAAGGCAACAGTTCCTTAATCAAGTTCTCTGGTATACAATAGGAATCTTAATACATACATGGATCAAATTAGTGTAAAAAAGATGAAGCAAAGCCAAATTTTTTACATGATGGAAAATAAGTGAAAAACGAAATTAAATAACCCTATTCGGTCAGAAAAAAATTTGGATATCTCGTGGTTCAAAAAAACTAAAAGAAGAATTTGAAACTTTCTGTTTAAAAGAGGGAAATTAGAGTTTGAATATAATTAATGAATTTTTATAAGAACTATGGTCCGATTTTACAAAATTATTTTCACAATCATGGTTAGAAAGTTACCCTGAATAATTATTCGGCTTCCATCCCTTAATGCCGCCAACTTTTTTGAGAGCCTGCCGCCACATCTTTATATCCTTGGAGCTGAACTTCTTCTTCTGATTCTCTATCTTCTGCTCCAAATTCAATATGGCTTCGTTGTACAACATGGTTTTCAACTTCACGTCATCAGGTTCCACGTTGTAGAAGATGGGCAATATGACTTTCTTATTCCCAGCTTTAGATTTAGAGGTGTTCTCCACCATCTTCGCCAGCTCTCGAAGGCACCAGTGACTTGAAGCATAGTTTTTGGAGAAGACGGGTATGTAGACCTTGGAATCATCGATCGCTCGCAGAAGATTGTCACTAATTCTTTCACCCGATCGAAGATCCTCGTCATCGATGAAAACACGAATCCCGGCGTCTTTCAAGACAACGTAGAGGCAATTAGTGAATCCACAACGAGTGTCGGGTCCTCTAAAACTCAGGAACACCTGATACTCACTTCCATATGTATTGCTTGTGCTCGTTCCGGTTTCTGAGCTCACCATAGGAGCTCACTTCGCACTTAGCAGGGTGAGCCCTCTCTCTGTGTCTCCAACAGACACTGTTGAAATACTTTCTACTAGCAAAATCGCACAAAGCCTTGCGGTCCTCGAATGTGAAAAGCCTTTATTACATTCTTAATGTAAAAAGCTCTCTCCACCAGATCATCCTCCCTCAGGAATTTACAAAAGGAGAACCAGGCCGCTACATTAGAAAAGGAGAAAAAGGATGTTTATTATAGGGACGGTTGTATTGAAAGTTAAACGCAACTTCGGTGGAACGTCCAATTTATAGTCAATAAAGTAGGTGGATTTACAATTAATAAGGTGGAAAACAATAATGGAGGTGTACATTTTAACATGCCCAATGTCTTTTGAGTTTCTTCTTCGTCCTTTTCGCTTTGTGCTTTTGAACTTTTGGATTATAAAAAAGTAAGATTCTCAAACATTTAAATCATTTATGATTATTCTATACCTATATCTATAGTTGGACATATTTAAAATCTCAATTCAGTATTGTAAATTCACAATTTATCTACATAAATGCATAATAACAAAATATTCCTAAAGAATCGCCTCTTATTATGACTCATGTTTCCTTTCTTCTTCTTTATTTTCTTCGGCTGAATTTCCTCTTTAAATACGAACAGGAAGAGCTCTTGATGTGATAGAGAGCTATGAGGGCTGCACAAAGGAGATTGGAAATTTCCTCTTAAAGGTTTTATTTAGAAAGGTTTTCTTCTTACCAAAATGGCTGAGTTGAAAGAAACGAGTGAGATAGGTATGCTATCCCCAAAACCAACAGGCACACCTAGCCATTCCAAGGGGACTAAATTATAGTCTCTTACTTGCTTCTCAAAAACGATCATTTAAGTTCCAAATTTTCTGATTCATAGGCACCACATTGTAGCAAGTGGAGAGCATACTTTAATCATATCACCATACTGAATTAATAGCAAGATCCTAATTAGAAGAGATCATTCTAGGAGAAGAAAGGACAGAGCTTAGGGAGCCATGATTTTGAATACAACATGATTTTATTTTCGTGGCTAAGTCTTGCCCCTTCTTAGCACAATACATTGCCTTGTATAGGCATACCTTGGTGTGGTTATAGAAGCATTGGATTCCTCTTATATAATAAGTAGTACAAGCATCTTTAAAGTAGAAACACTGACACTCTCACAAACATATCACATACCTATTTCATTGCAGAATCCTTCTTCAGTGTTGTCAGCAGAGCTGTCTCAGTTGTCTCCATCATTTTGCTGTCAATAAGCTTGAATAAGGCTGTCAATTTCCCATTAAGACAAGAGTTGGTTGGCTACCGGGTCATCACAAAATGAAGCCAATTAATTAATATATGTGTCATTCAAAAAAATCATAAGTCACATCAATAATGTGAGGAATTATTCGAGAATTGTACTTAAAGGACGTAATTGGAAAATGTGGCATCGAAAAAGTGTTGTGGGGAGTCTAACCCCTCCCCACACATAAATGAACCCCCCTACTACAATTGTCTTTCGTTTTCTCGCAAATGATCAGCCTAATTTTCTTAAATTGATTGGTAACCACTTCATCTCCTTCTTTGAATAAAACCCTAGAAATGGCCCAAAACTTCCAAAACCCTTTTTCAATTACATAGCTGCTCCTCCTGCAGAACAAAACCTCGGAGCTCAGAACGTTGGGCAAGGCGCTACATGACCTATGTGAATACTTCAACAT